ACTTACATTCCATGTCACGTGCAATAGCAGTAGGGTCATACGATCGGTATGGATTATCCAATGTTCTCAAAATATGCTCGGCAATAACAGAACTAGTGGCATGTCGATGTGCGTTGCAACGAAAATCTAAGGTATATGTGTGCACATTGTTGAATTTACGGATCATGAAGACTGCAAAATGTTTCACAATCGAAGCACGTAGCATCCACATGCAATTATCGTTGCGCATACAACAGTTAACATTTTCATGCTAGACCTACTGACCTTAAATTCGAACTTGTCTTGCAAAGCAAGTACACGAATTCTCGAGTACAACTCTTTCTTGCTGAAGAATATTTGTCTTTCGGCAAGATCGAATATATTTACTCTGGTAATCCATTCGTATCTGTCCAAAGTCCCGAACTGTGAGGACATTTGCTCATCAACGTCAGCAATGTTAGCAATCTCTGTACCATGTAATGGGTTGTCCAAATTCTGATCTGAAGGTGTAGTCCCAATATCAAAAATTGGAGTGTCGGGTACATTATTGTTTGAGATAGATTGGGCTCCTCATGTTGTACATTTTGGCGAACATCCGCTACGGCAAACGAACGATCCAAACAATTTGTATCCCTCCCCATGCCAACACTTGGGAGCTCGGTTTCCGAAATAATAACACAGATGGCAGATTCATTATGAACTGATATGTACCAATTTAAGTCTTCATCTTCGCGTATTTCGGTCAGAGGTATATTCAAGTTCGGGACTTTGTACTTCAATTCAATTTGAGTGCGGGGATCAAGAATACCAAGTTTGTCCTTCAATCATAGCACGAGTTCGGTTAGGTTAAAACTTGTCGGCACTAAAATGGAAGTGGTTTTGTCCCCTCTCCACTTCCATTCGTCATCCACGTGAACAAAATGTCCCCAATACGATACAATAAATCTCAAATGATTACTCATACCTGAAATGTTGGGATTGCAACGGTAAGAATTTCACACAATAAATATGTCTACATTTAATAATATAACTGTGGAACATTCGAATATTGAAATCCATGGAGTAGCAGAAGGTGAAATCAAGGATGTGTCAACAGTTTTCAAGTGTCGAATTCGACAGTTAAATTATCTATCCCGATAGTTCAGAAATGTCGAATTCGACAGTTCACACGTCTAAATCGACTTCAACAGAACAATTCGACAAATGAAATGTAGGAACTACCAAAAAACTTGAAAACATGTATTTCGTACCTTTGAAGAAATTATTGAAAATATTAATGGTGATGATTAATTATCAACTACAACTTGAAAACATCTTCCCATTAATGAATAACTCAATGTTTCATTAAATACGGAATCCTTCATTTTTGTACAGCATATTGATATTTTTATCCTTCAAAAATATTTCAAAAACCAAACAAATCAATGATAATAGTTCAAAAATTTCTCCCATTGCATTTCACCATATTGTATTTATCATCTAAAAAATAGTGATCTATAAGATAAAACTATAGACAATTTGTAATGGCTAAGGCCCGTTTGGTCCACATTATTTTTTCATTCTCGTTCTTCTAATCATTTTCAACCACATATTCTTCAATAAAATAATATTTTTCATCACATCAATAGCTTTTCATTCTTTTTCAACCACATATTCATCATCACATCAACAATAAAAATACATTCTTTTTTCAAAAATGTTCACCAAACAGGGGCTAACCTCTCAAAATGGATGATAAATTCAATGGTAATGTGTTCTTGATTAAGGAATGAAAAAAATAGAGAAAAAATTAGGATTTGTTAATGGGAAAAAGATGTGTGATTATGTTAATATTTCAAATTTTTTTATCTTTTATCTCTTTTTACAAAATTCATATTACTCAATATAATATACATATAAACAATTTTTATAATATTTAAATTAAATCATCACATCATAACATTAATTACGTTCAAATCAAACATTAAATGCTCCTAAAAATGTGTTAATTTGGACATATTGCACCAAAAAAGTGACATTTTTGCTCACAAAAGATGAAAATAACAATTTTTTTGAATTTTCAAATTTAGTGACATTTATGAAAATTTCCCAAATAATTAATGGCACAAATTTTAACACAATATCTACAAAGATGTCACCAAGGAAGGTACAAATAACATAACTTTTTTATATTAAGATTAAAATTTTAGAATTCAAAGGAATCTTTTGGCTCAACTCGTGTGTTTCTTGTCCAAAAAAGTACATTTCAGAACTTTAAAAAATTCATTAGAAATATTATGTGGATGATTTTGGCCCTTAAAGTATAGGATTATGCCACTTTCCAAGAGAGATTTTGACAAATTCAATGATAGAAGTGTAGGTGGCAGTAGATAATTGGATAAAAAGTTGATTGTGCTTTAAATAATCCAATTTTTGCACCAAAAAAGTGACATTTTTTCTCACAAAAGGTGAAAATAACAATTTTTTTGAATTTTCAAATTTAGTGACATTTATGAAAATTTCCCAAATAATTAATGGCACAAATTTTAACACAATATCTACAAAGATGTCACCAAGGAAGGTACAAATAACATAATTTTTTTATATTAAGATTAAAATTTTAGAATTCAAAGGAATCTTTTGGTTCAACTCGTGTGTTTCTTGTCCAAAAAAGTACATTTCAGAACTTTAAAGAATTCATTAGAAATATTATGTGGATGATTTTGGCCCTTAAAGTATAGGATTATGCCACTTTCCAAGAGAGATTTTGACAGATTCAATGATAGAAGTGTAGGTGGCAGTAGATAATTGGATAAAAACTTGATTGTGCTTTAAATAATCCAATTATTATGCCACTTTCCAAGAGAGATTTTGACAGATTCAATGATAGAAGTGTAGGTGGCAGTAGATAATTTGATAAAAACTAGATTGTGCTTTAAATAATCCAATGTAACGTTTGTGGCATTATGTCAGCATTTCTGTCAATTTTACAATGTAGCATGATTGTAAATTATATGGCATGTCAGTAATACGTCATTGTATAACACCCATTCTAATTGAAAATCCTAAAAGAACTAATTCGCTAACGATGCCAAAGGTTGGAAACAGAAAAGTCCAATTTTTGAAGTTGAAGATGAATTTCTCAAAGAAGATTTAGGAATGAATTGTGCAATTTATCAGTTGCCATCGATTCGCACCACTGAATTCTCAAAGTCTTATAGCCCCCATATCTTTGCAGTTTTGTCACGTTTATATTAACTTTGACATTTTTCCTTCATGTCATCAAGAGTCTAGTCTCTTTGCAGGGTAAAAATCTCGTAGTTCGTACAATAATAACATATTAAGTTATAAACTTCTTAAATTGAGATTGATTATATGAATTTTTTTTCTTTTTATTTTGTCCAGCCCATTATTACTGGCATAAAATGCGCATAAGTTGTTATAAAATGTTTTGCTAATTGCCAACTCTTTGCAACCATCCTCTTTAACCGAGGCTGGGAATTGCTTATAAAGAAGCTTAAAGGAATTCATCATCGTCCTAGTATTATTATTATTATTACTAATAATAATAAATAAAGACGTAACATGAATGATATATATTTAAGAAAATTAGGAAAATATGCTCAATATACGGATCCAATCCAGCACTAGACATAACCTCCATCTGCAAAGAGCTACATAGGATGAATGAAACTAAACAATTTAGGACAATAATGTAAAACAACACTGCTGTGTTAGAGATTACAGAGAGATTCATTCTTTTTGATATTCGTGTATCATTGAATTATGAAGGGAACATCAGCTTCATCCTTGCGCACAATTCTCAGCCGTTTTACGCTATCAACAAAATCCCTGTTTATAAGAGAAATCAAATAACACGATTCAATCTTCGAACTGACGTGCTTTAAAATGCAAAAGAAGAATGAGCATCAATTTTACGATGCAATAGACCATCAATCATAAGTAAACATGGCATGGCCTACATTTTATCTGTGCTTGCTATAACACTGCCTAATTTTCCTTTTTTCCTTTTTTTTTGTACTGAGACTAGCCACGCTGGCCACGGGTATTGCATCCTTGACTTGACACAAGCCGTTTGATTTTTCTGAACTGTTCCGACTTGCTTTTCACCCTTGACTACAAATCTCTCTATGCGATGATTTAGATATATATTGTTTCTTCAAATTTCTCTAGACGAGTCTTTGATCAATGGAGCGAAAAGAAAGAATTTATGACTTATGCATTAACTAAGAACTTACTTCCATGGAGAATCTCCAACAGTCCTCCATTGCTCATCTTTGTCCTTGTAAAACAAGGAGAATTCAGACTCAGCTTCAAACAGATGCAGACCGGCTATGGATTGATTCCCTAATCAACAATTCAAATCCATTATTCATTTTGAAAAATCAATCCCATGTTCATGAGATTTTTTAAACATACCAAACATGTCTTCTAGTTGAAGTGCAAGGCTTAAATAATCCATATGATCAAGGATACAAATCTTCCTGCCAACTACTACCCCATCCATGTTAACTTTCACGTAAGCCCAACGCTCTTTGCTTTGAATCCCTTCTGCTTCATCATCGCAATTTTCCTTTATTTTTCGTGGATATACATCGATACTGCTTTTTAACTGGGGATGCAGCTGCTGCCAATCTACCAGGACTTCATACTTTTCTGCACTTAACAACAACAGAAATGTGATACGTGATTATCATATTGGAGCTCTGGTTATCAAATTGCACAACCTTTAGTGTAGGATAATTTCAATCAAATAATTAGAGATCAAATTAATTAAAATCCACCTCGTCAGTAAGCACAGACCCTTACAAGTTTATTGGAAACGTAAAGAAAAGTTCCAGAGTTTTTAGTGGGGAAAGTAATGCCACGTGACTGATCTCTTAAGTACCGGTACTTAGTTTGTGCTAAGCACTAGGTGACATAGACCCACGTCACCTTGCTTAGGAGATCAATTCCGCATAATGCCATATCTCAAGTAAGGCAAATGAAAGAATACATTTAAAAGGAGTAACAGCATCTAGACCTACCCTAATTTCTACTAACCATTTTATGGTACTAAAGAATTCTTAAAAGACATTTTGTTTCACTACATAACCTGTATCAACAAATGCTAATATAAATATAGGCAAATTATTTAAACAGGAAACAAACAAAAAAACATAATATTAATACGTTCAAGATCAATCATCCGGTTTCATAAATTATATTAATTTCCTGATGATCACAATACGATAGGGTCCGAAGTATTTTACTACAGAAATTATTCAAATACCGTACCATGACCAGAAGGATAATATGCATCCGGCTGCAAAGTTTTAAGACTTAGCCCGAGGTCGATAATGTTGGCTTCCTCTTTGCTTTGATAAAAGGAAAGAGCAGCATGGTTTAGACGGTAGCCTGATGCATTTGAATCCATGGATACAGCAGAAAGAACTTTAGAATGGGCAATTCAATGATGGACAAATCTACATATAAGTCCATTTAAATCACTTTGTGACAAAGTATTGAACCTGGTAACAAAAATGAAAATTGAAGTGGGACATAGGGAAGACAAGAAACCCTTTATCCCATTACCAATCATCGAGTAGCAGTTATGAATTCTTGCATTATTTTACACGTAAATACTCGAAGAAGTAGCAAAAGAACAGGTGGACAATGGATGGGTAATAAAGATACTGTAAAAGTAGGTTGGATTTTGCGTCCTTGTATTGCTACAAAGATCCTTCTACTCAGATGCAAATCTGACAGAGTTCAGATGCAACAAAACATACCCATTGTACTGGAATATGAGCAAAAAGAATCAGTAATATTGGCACAAATTTTTCAAATTTCATGACTTGATTAGTCACTATAGCAAACTAGAAATTTTATAAACAAAGAACGTCAATCCTAGTAATACCATGTTGATATTTTAAACTAGTCTTATTGCTAGATATGAATCTTTTTTGGGAAACCAAAACTTTACTACACATATAGAAGTAAACAATATTTAACTTCGAAAGTTTCATGAGTATTACAAGCTTAGCGGAATTTTTAAAAAAGCAAATAGTTGAATCGAGCATTATTGATACTTGACTTGGCAACAAGTTTCTAAATAATTTCAAATTTCAACGAGTCTCTTGGCCAAGAGCAAATCAGTTTAATATGTGATACGCCGGATATAGTTCCATATTGTATTAAATTAATGCGAACAAGATGGAGCAATAGCCTACAATAGGGTCTTGCTACTGGGACTATCCAAGAGTGGCGAAAAAATGGTTGGATTGGGATAGATAGGTCATGTATTACGTTGTAATCTGTTATTCCAGCTACAATATTATTGGTAATATTCATCAATCCACCGTCTGTTTTGCTTATATTTCTCTTCGGAAGGTAAGCAACACCATGTCTAGTTTCCAATGAGTGTGGATCTGCAACGTAAATTCAAGTGCGTTACTAGATTGTTGACCATAAAAATTGGAACATGATAAACAATTACAATCAAAGATCAATGTAAATACAATCAACAAATACTCTCACCTAACTATGAGTTTCACCTCTTAAATTTACTTAGTCTAGATGCTTAAACTAGGACAAGAGGAGAAATAGCTATTTAAGATGGAGATATTTGAATTAATGCCTCCCTTCCTCAAATGTGGGGGTATTTATAAATTTTCTTCCGAGCGTTGGGTAGCTTGGTAATTCTCATATTATGGCAGGTAGCTACCCCTTATTGGTAGCCTGATAATTGATTTCGAGTAGGAGTCATATTCACTTGTCCATATGCTCCTTATTGACAAAATGTAACCAGCCTATGCATGGTGATTGGTTTTGCAATGCTTTTTTTATCATTTTTGCGTATAGCTTTTTATACCTCACCCGGTGGAAGAGTTTCTCTAGGTATGTTCTCAGTGGAGAAATGTTATTCAAACCCTCGGACTTCTTTACGAGGTCTAACAAATAGAAGTCCGGGTTCAATATTTATATTAACTTCAGGACTTGTTATTTCTTTGTCCATGCAGTGAACCTATGGTTTCCATAAGTTTCCTTGGTGTATGACACGGGACGTTTCTCGAGGAGATATATTGTGATAGCCACGAATTTTGAGTATATGCTATACGGGTCTTTTTGCGATTTTCCAAGGTAATGCCCTGCAAGCATTTAAAGCGCTTGAGGTCCAAGTTTGATCTCATTCGTGTTTTTATTGAAATTTCTTTAGCGGACTGAGGCTCGCCTTTGGTTCTCGTATTTCTGTGGATCTTATATCGAATTTAGTATTGATTTGTATTTCGAGACCCATGCTTCGTTTAGTGTTTTCGAAGTTATCTTTACTGGTGGGCTAGTGTTTCAACTTGCGCTTTACAGCTTCAGATACTTGCTTTCCTAGATAAGGATTTTCAAGCATGTTTTGTTTTCGTTCTACTATGAATATGCATGGGAGGGGATAGGGGTGGGCTCTTACCCAAGCCCAGATACTGAAATTAAAAACAAATTGGTTTAACTAGCCCATTGTTTGCCACCCTTAGCCCACTGTCTAGCCCATAATTGATAATCCCATTTGAAAAATGAAAACCCAAACCCATTAGTCATTTAAAAATGAAAACCCAAATTATCCAATTCACATTCCAAAGAGTACAGAGTAATATTATTTTTCTTTTTTTCTATTTCAATTTCAATCTGCCAAGTGCTTGTACTAGGTGTTTAAGATTAATGCGCATGTTGGTCTGAATATATACTTTCTTCATTTTATGAGGAATTCCCAGAAAAATTGGTATTTTCAGAGTTTGTGTTTAATGAATCTCGGTGTTTTTATTTATGGGTTCTTGGAGTTGAGGAGTTCAGAGATATAACTCGAGCTGTTGAATCAATTGTTGCAGTTTATTTGAGTTTTTATTTTAACTTTTTGTGGGTTAATTTTTAGCTAATTGCCAATTGTGATATGGCTATGTTTGGTCAGAAATAAAGAGAAGAAAAAATAACAAATTATATAAATTGTTGGGTTTTAGTAATTATTCAGATCTCATATTTTGTTTGTGAATAAACCACGAGTTTGAGAGAAGTCAACCCGAATTTGAATTATAGTTATTTTGTTCCTGGGATGTGTTCATTTTCTGCTTGAACCTGTGTGATTTGGCCGTAAAAACACTTATTGTTTGAAAATTGAGTTACAACATTATCAACATGGTGTGATTTTGGAACCTCGATTTCAAGTGCATATACTTTCTGATTTATGTCGGGAATTGGTTGCAAGTAGAAGGTCATAGAGTTACCTCATTTTGATTAAATTGATTTGTTTAGTATTGACACTACCGATTTCAATAGTGACAGTGGAGCAAGCATTTTCAATAATAAAACATGTGAAGACTGAAATTCGAAACAAACATGAATTTCATGCTTTAAAACATCGTTGTGTACAATTGTAATAGGTAACGTTATATTACAATTTTTTTAGTTATATTACAATTTTATTCGTACGTTATATTTTAAAAATTTTAGCCCACCGTACGATCAATTCCTAGCTCCGCCCCTGTGAATATGGTACTACCCTTTGAGAGTTTTGGAGCTGCTTTCTGTAAAGCACAAAATAACATTCCCGTGCAGTAGTTTTATTTCCCTTTATACATGCTATGCTTTAGGGAGTTTCAAATTTAAGGCACAGGTGGTAATTGAAGTCACAGCTTTCAGTTGCATTAAAATGAGTATTTCCAAGATCCCATTGTAAGCATATTTATTGTTCATGATAATGAAATCCATGCGCACTTGAAATGTGACTGGTTCCTCACTGAGCTCAATCGTTAATGTGATTTATCCCCTTAGGATCAAACTATCCAAGTAAAACCGTATATAAGTTTGGCCATTGGTAAACAAGGATGCTTAACTTGCATTTGGTTAAAAGAACTTCCAAATAGAATATTAAAGGAGTTGCCATTATCTACCATCATGCGGCTTAAGCCGTTATGAGCTATTATAGCTAGAACTACTAAGGCATTGTAGTGGGGATATTTGACTTCGTGTTCATTGTAATTGTCAAAGGTAATTAGAAGGGAGACATGTTTAGGATTACCTCGAATCCAGCATACCTCGTGTATTGACTTTTTACCGGCGTTGGTATATCTCCTCTGCTCATTTGATGTATCTCCACCGATATAAAGGCCTTCAATTATGGTATTAATTTGCTTGATCGGATGGAGCAAATTAGAAGCATTGACCTTTTGTTCACCTTGTCGTATTGGACTTATTCGGCCTCACCCTCTTGACGAGTAAGGCGATTTTCTCCCTTCAGTCACTCTTTATGAGCCTCCTTGTTGATATTTCACAACTCTATCATTCTTAATACTTCATACACTCATTCGTATTGTAATTCCTAAAGTGATGTATCCTTTAAAATTTTAATTTCTGAACATTGGGAGATGGATGATCTTCGTTTGCAGTGGATGTGATGGTTGATGATATTGCATGGATATTGCATGGACCCTGTCCCTGGATTCTACGAAATGTGAATACATTTTTGTCAATTTTAAAGTATGTGTGGATGTCTTACCTTTAATGTTCTTAGTTCATACTTTTTCTATCTTCTTCTGGTTGGCAATGGTACTTTATGTCTAAATCTCACTTTATATTAGATTCATCAACTAGTAATAAGAAGTAGGATTTTGGTTGCGGACATCGTGCCAAAAGAGAGTTTCCATTAACAGACCATTCTATAAGACATATCTAGCCTTCTCATTCGATATAGTTTCACAAGCTATCAATTCGACACTAAACCGTGCGAAGTAGCTTTCTAAAGACTCTCTTTCCTCCTGACACATATCATTTAATCATGTGGTTGGAGCTTGTCCCAACCGTTTTCCAACAAATGCCCCCAGGAAAGCTTGTTTCAGTTGGGGCCAGCTTCTAATAGATCCCAACAGTAATTTTCTATACCATGTTTTGGCCAATCCGTCTAGTGTTAAGTGGAATCCCAGGCACTTTAGTATGAGGCTTGCTATTTTCAACTTCATTTGTGTCATATATTTAGACAAATGGTAATGGGGTCGCATTTTCCTCTATATTTGTCCATTACGAACCGCGATTGAAGTTATCCGGGATAGGTACCTCCTTGATTTCCCTGGAGAACAGTATGCATTCATCATCGTCCATTTCATAAGATCTGACTAGAAGGTCTTCATACTTTTTTTGCGATGATTGTATTGTCTGATGCATCATCATAGTTTCTAGTACTCCACTCTCCTTGGTGGTAGTTTTGGGATGATCTTCTGTCACGAGAACATAGCTCATTCGTAGATTTTCTTATCGTGTTTTTACCTTCATATCGCTCTCTCCTCCTGCTCTCCAAATTGTCATTGTTCTTCGAGATCTCGAGACTGTTGCTTTTTTCACAAAAAGAACTGGCCAGTGTTTTTTCCCTATTTGCTCCTGAATTCTCTTGCCACTTGT